CCCCCCCCCAACACACTGTAAAGCGTAGGTGCACATATCTGTATTTCTATGTGTGTATATATATATGTGTGTGTGTGAACGTGATTCGTTTTTCTTAGATGTCAAATTTAATGTTCAAGAAACGTATGAAAGACTCGACTTCAAGACTGGACTGGACACTGCCACTCACACTCTGAAAGATTTCAAGACTTCAATATACATAGACAAAACAAACAGCAAAACTAGATTTATACAAAGAAAAAGCACATGTTTCTTAAATTCACCTTTTGGATGACTGTGCTTTGTGACACGGGTTTCATCTTCCTCTATATCTATATCGAATGAAGATGTACAGTCTTTGAGTCTTTGGCACTTTGGAAGCTCACAGTTGGCTTCTGTTTGTATGCTTGCCTACCTTTAGCCTTGGGGTTGGCTAAATGTCAGTGCAGACACTTTGTGCTGTGCTGCAGGCCGTTGCATTCAGTTCGCGAATTGTGGCAAACCAACTTGCCATACAAATACAGAAACAAACCGCCGAGTTGTGAGAGAAGGAAAAGTGACTCTCATCATGGCCAGCGCTCGAAAGTGCTGCACACAAAAACAAACATGTTCCCATGCCCGTACACAAAATGTTCGCATTGCGGTTATTCCCGAATGCGTAGCGAAGGGTTCTCGTTTAACTCTTGGGGGTCTGGGGGTAGAGCCTTGTTCGCGACCCGTTGCTTCTATGTTCGCAACCGTCCGCAACCGTTCGCAACCGTCCGCAACCGTTCGCAACCGTCCGCAGTAGGTCGCTAAGGCGCTGCCATTGGGGGAAGCTTTTGCAAGTGACTTTTCATGGATGTGTCACGCGTCAGTTTGCGCCGCTATTCCATTGTGATTTGCATGAAATTGGGATTAGCGTTTGGAGAGTCGTGTTTTTGGGGTGTTGGATGTGGCCGTGCCATTGGGATTTGCGTTGTAGGGTGTGGCATCGAAGCTCTGTTTTCGTGACAAGTCTCAGCTGGAATGGCGATTTTGGTGGATGGGAGTGTGCTCAGAACGGGTCGAAATCATTCTAAACGTGTGGTGTGGTGCAAATTTTGTTGAAGCTCACGTGAGATGATATTCTCACTTTTCGTGGCAGGCACGGTACTTTGTGCTGATTTTGAGGTGTGGAAGTGCGATTTTCGTGGCAGGCGCAGGAAATCGTGAGGTTGCGAGGTGTGACGGAAGTGACATTTCGTGGCAGGCGCAGTACTTTGTGGGCGTTAGACGTGTGGATGCGGAAAGATTCGTGGCAGGCGCAGGGAATCGTGAGGTCGTGAGTTGTGGTAGAGGTGAACGTCGCTGTCACATTGGGATTGGCGTGTGAGCGGGTATTGTTTGGAGGGGCTGGACTCGCGAAACTGCTTGGCAGGGCTGCGTGATGTGTGTGCTCCGATGGGTGTTTCCGCTTGACTTTTGGAGGAAGTCTCGCACGAAATCCTCGTTTTGCAGACTTTGACATGTGAGTTTTGGAGGAAGTCTCGTACGAAACGCTCGTTTTGGAGACTTGACACATGACTTTTGGAGGAAGTCTCGTACGAAACGCTCGTTTTGGAGACTTGACGTGTGAGTGTCCCACAAGAGTGTCCCACAAGAGTGTCCCACAAGAGCGTCCCACAAGAGTGTCCTACAAGTGTGTCCTACAAGAGTGTCCCACAAGAGTGTCCCACAAGAGTGTCCTATAAGAGTGTCCCACAAGAGTGTCCTACAAGAGTGTCCCACAAGAGTGTCCCACAAGAGTGTCTCACAAGAGTTTCCTACAAGAGTGTCACACCAGAGTGTCCCACAAGAGTGTCCCACAAAATTGTCCCACAAGAGTGTCCTACAAGAATGTCCTACAAGAGTGTCCCGCAAGAGTGCCCCACAAGAGTGTCCTGCAAGAGTGTCTCACAAGAGTGTCCCACAAGAATGTCCCACAAGAGTGTCCCATAAGAGTGACCCACAAGAGTGTCCTATAAGAGTGTCCCACAAGAATGTAGGATAAGAGTGACCCACAAGAGTGTCTTATGAGAGTGTCCCACACAAGGAGTGTCCTACAAGAGTGTCGTGTAAGAGTGACCCACAAGAGTGTTCCACAAGAGTGTCCCAGAAGAGTGTCCTACAAGAGTGTCCCGCAAGAGTGTCCTACAAGAGTGTCCCACAAGAGTGTCCCACAAGAGTGCCCCGCAACAGTGTCCCACAAGAGTGTCCTGCAAGTGACCCACAGAGTGTCCCACAAGAGTGTCCCAGAAGAGTGTCCCACAAGAGCGTGCTATAAGAGTGTCCCACAAGAGTGTCCTACAAGAGTGTCCCACAAGAGTTTCCTACAAGAGTGTCCCACAATCCCACAAGAGTTTCCTACAAGACTGTCACACAAGAGTGCCCCACAAGAGTGTCCTACAAGAGTATCCCACAAGAGTGTCCCACAAGTGCCACAAGAGTTTCCTACAAGAGTGTCGCACAAGAGTGTCCCACAAGAGTGTCCTACAAGAGTATCCCACAAGAGTGTCCCACGAGAGTGTCCTACAAGAGTGTCCCACAAGAGTGTCCCACAAGAGTATCCCACAAGAGTTTGCTACAAGAGTGTCCCACAAGGAGTGTCCTACAAGAGTGTCGTGTAAGAGTGACCCACAAGAGTGTCCTACAAGAGTGTCTCACAAGAGAGTGTCCCATAAGAGTGCCCGACAAGAGTGTCCTACAAGAGTG